CTTTCATTTTATAGAGCAGAAAACGGGCTAGATCTCAGTATTGGGGGTGGGGGGTGAAGAGTGGAGAACATGATGATCTAGCCCTGCTTTCCCTTCTCTTCTACATCAGACACATCTTCCAAGAAGGAAAGACAAGGGTCACAGGGCTATAAACACAAAAGAGCCCACTTGGTTTTATTTACAAACACGCTGTATGTACAAGCAGCTGGCCAATATTATTAAAACAAAGAAGTGGGTAGATGATACAAATATCACCAGTCCCACACAAAAGACAAGAGACCCATGGGTTACGTTCCTTTAGGCCATCTGAGCCAAAAGGTTTTCAAAAGGAAAGAAATGGGAGAGGGGGTTCAAAAAAATAAAAGAGTCCAAACAAATGATGGAAGAAAGGGGTGGGCAATGCTATATTACACTAGAGGTATAGACAACTGCCTCACCCCACCCTGATTCCAACCCTAAGTCTGGGCTGGTGGATATGGGAGTAAGCAGGGTCAACTGGCAGAACAGTGAAGGGATGAAGAAGGGAATCTTAGGAATAGGGACACCTTCCTGTTCAATGGATCAAAATTCAAGTCCTAAAGGCTTTAGGGAAAGACCCATTCATTCCCAAGCAAGCCTTCCTTGAGAATCCCCACTCCATAATGGGACAGTGTTCCAAGTCCCAGTGTAGAGACCCCATCTCAGCGATGAAGTCTCTGTGAAGAGTTCCAGCTTGAAGTAGGAAAGGTTGGGGTGGATCCTAGGGCTCTCCAGGCTTGGAGAGACCACCAGACCGACGGGCCTCTGGCCGCAACTCCTTGCACTTCTGGCAGTAAAATATGTCAGGGACGTTGGTCTTCTTAATCTTAGCACATGAAAGATGGATCCATGTTCCACACAAACTGCACTCAATCATGGGCCTCCCTGCAAAGGGCTTCTGGCAATAACAGGTGATCAAGTCCCATGAGTCATCGCCTGGGAGAAGGGATGGTTGTGATCAGGTTTCTGCTGAGGACTCAGAATCTACAGAATTTCAAGCACTCCCCCACCCCAAAGAACCCACTCCCTTCAGGGACAAAAGTATATGTCCTTCTCTATTCCCACCCCTACTCCCGAGTGTACTTCCCTCAAACACCCTTCTTACCTGATTCTACCATGATGTCCTCATCCATTACCCGCATTTCACCCCTCACTGGAGCTCCCATCCCCATCCTGGCTTGTCTCTGTGCTCCCCACTTCCTTGGCTTCACTCTCAGTAGGGATACCTCCTGGGGGGGTTGAGGTGAGGGGCCGGGGAGCCTCAGGGGGTGGAGGGAGTACAGAAGCTGGGGCCTCACCCCCACAACTGCCTGCTACTGCTGTTGTCACTGCTACCATTTCATCTTCTTCTTCCTCCTCCTCCTCTTCCTCTTCTTCAGAGTCTGTGTCACTTGGAAGAGCCCGAGGGGGGCCCAGAAGGGGGGGGTCGATCTCCCCTCTCCGGTTTTTTCAACTTTCGCTTCTTACTCTTCTTTATTCTTGACCTCTTCTCACCATCTGCAGGAGCTGACCGAGGTCTCCGAAGCACTCCAAAGCTTCCTCCCCCACCTGGTCCCAACTTTCGGTTCTTTCGGTCCTTTTTTCGAGAGGGTTGAGGGAGATCCTCCTGGGAAGCAATGACAGGGGTGAGGGTAGTAGGGGGCCGAGGGGCATGTGTTGGGGGTGCAGGGACCAGAGGGGGTGCCACTTTGGGTCCATCCAGATCAAAGAGAGAGTCCTTAAGCTTCATCTTCTCAAGCAGTGTAGCATTGTCAGAGGCCTGAAGTCGAGGAAAGGTGGGCCCTGGTGGAGGGGGGCCTGCTTGAGCAGCCCGCCTCTTGGAAGATTTAGCCTTTTTGACAAAAGTCTGGATGGTTCGAAGGTCTGAAGGGGCTGAATCCCAGCCATCACTATCTGCAGCACTCTCTCCCCGAAATGGTGAACTAGAGCCAGAAGCTGGCCAGTCACTTTCCTAGGGGGGGTGGGAAGGGAGGGTTAAGTATTGGTGCCCCCTTTTAATAGAATTCCAACTCCATTCCTCACACCTGCAGACACATCAGACTTAACCACAACCAGGTCATCTAATACCCTGGGCCTCTTGCATGGCTAACTTCTCCAAGCTCAATCAATTCAGATATCTAACCCACCTACGTCCCTGCAAATGCTAACAGTTCAGCCTCTAAACTAACCAGTCCCCAAACACCTACATGAAATCTCTTTTGTCTCTAGAACCCCTATTTCCCCCCATGATCCATTACCCTAACCTTAATCATCATAATATAATAATAATAACCATCCACAATACACAGAACTTTCAAGGTTGGCAAATAGATTTCCTTCAAGTAGATATTTCAAGTATCATACCAATTTTATAGAAGACTGTGATCAATGCTAATAATTATTTGGACAGGATTTGAACCAAGGTCTCATGACACTAAATGCAACACTGGATATCTTCAACCTTACCTCCACAAGATCCCAAGAGTGCCCCTGAAGACCCTCAAAAACTTTTCTGGCATACAGACAAAACCACCATTCCCCAATTGTCCTATTTCCCTAACTTGCCCCACCCCCAAATGCCTGCATTAATCTTATCTCCATTAATTCTAATTCTCTTGAATCCCTATAACTTCTCCATTTTCAATATCCTTCCATTCTCCCAAAGCCAGATTCACCTAATCATTTTATTTTTCATAACCTTCTAGATTTATTTCCATAACTACCTCTGAATTCCCCTTTACCCTGCCAATCTTATGCTAGCCTTCCCTCCCTTTCTCCTTATAGAAACTTCATGTCCCATTCCTAAGATCATTGCCCCTACCTCTTTGCTGGAGGGAATGTAGCCAGCATATGCCAAGACAAAACTGCAAAATTTGTTGAAATCCTCAATTGTTCGCCTTCGTTTTTCAGGGGGCTACAGAAAAAGAAGGAATCAGACACAATCTCAAAGGGAACGGTCCAGAAGCAAAATTTCCCTGAAGAGAGGCAGAACTGGGGTAGAATATCTGGGGGAATCTTATGTCTGGTTCTCTAAAGGAAGCTTAGCAGGAGTAGGAAGGGAAATCTCACCTGGGCCTCTGGCTTCAGGTTCGGAGGAAGATCTGAAAAAAAACAATGAAAGAGCTGAGTCAAGGGACTAGAAAAGTGTAGATGCTTCTTTCCCCCAACATTATTACTCTTTAAGGACCTGACCTCTCTTCCCTCCCTCCCTTCCTACAGGAAGAAGGCCTGAGTGATTCTGCTTCCACTTTCTTCCTAACTAATCTTCCCTATTCCATTGCCCAGCTTCTCAGAGTGCATTAGCTTGCATCTGCACTTCCACGTAGATGTTTCCCCAGGTTCTACTCTTCTTTCCACTGTTACCCTTTCTGATCTCAAGGGCCTCTGGCTCCTCCTTTGCCCTTTATACTGGGCTCCCACTCCCCATCCTTTGGTTGGGACACTCCCACACACCATCAGGTCTTGTGCCCCACTACTCTATTCTCTGGGTTGTCTTTTTAGACCAGTTCATGCAGAATCCCTTGTTCATACTCCTCAAAGCTCTCAGGTTTAGACTGACTTTATTATACACCTCATTATCAGTTCTCAAGACCTTGTTCTCAGGCCTGGACATGTGGCTCACCTCCCCCAACTCAATTAGATGGTTCCCCAGGCCCCACTCTAATTTGTAGATCTTCTGCTTATACTCTGTCCATATTCTGTCACTACCCCCAAGCACAATACCTCACACCCCAAAACTCTCCACTCTCTCCAACCTTCTCCCAGCCTCTGGTTTCTCAGCGGGGGGGGGGGGGGGGGCGGGGTGAGAGGGGAACAGGGAGGCTGGCCCTCAGGCTTCTCCTAGCCGCTCCCTACAGCCCATTTTCTCCCAGCCAAAGTGCCCCTTTACTACTAACTCTTGGACAAGTCTCCAGTTGCTGGTCCTCATGGCTCTTCCAGCTCCCACCAATCAACTCCCCGGCTCCAGCTCCCCAGTCACCCTTCCCCTCCCCCAGCAGTTACCCAGTTCCACAGCACCCCTCCCCCGCAGCAGTTCCCCATCTTTTCTCCTCCCGGCCGTCCCCCCCAAATAACCTGGATCCACAAGCCCCCACATTATCTGGCTCCGCACTCCCCAATTTTATCCTGTTTCGCAGTCACTTCCCATTCTTGAACCCCAAACTGCACCCAGATCCACAGCAGATCCCCTCCCCGCCCGAAAAGCAGCTCCAAAAGGCCGTTCCTCACAAGCTGCCCAAGTCCCGCGTTCCGGCCCAGTCCACCGGCCCTCCCTCACCCCCTCCGAAGTCCGACCTCTCCCTCCAGTCCCTTCAGTCTCCGCTTCCCGGTCCTGGTATCCCAACTCATCACCCCCTCCCCCAGGCCCCTACGGGGCTCCCCGCCCCCCAAGTTTCCCGGTCCCCAACTCCGGGACCCCAGGCTCACCTTCAGGGCTGGGCTCCGCCATGGCTTCCAGCATCGCCACCGCACCGCCCCTCCCCCCCAACCCCCCACCCCCAGACTCCCGGTGCTGTCTCCGGTGCCTCTACAGTCTCCCACCCTCCCGAGACTGTCTCAGCCCTAACCCCAGCCCAAGTTCGGGTGCCGTCCCGCTACCCTGTCTTCTCCCGAGCTCTTCTTTCCCCTGTGGTTGAACCGCCTGGCTCCTGCCGCCTCCCGCACTCCCGGACCGGACCCCCCCACCCCCCCGTCGCCTGCCGCCTGCCGCCTGCCGCCTGCTCCCTACTCCTCCCCTCCCCCCTTCCTCTCCGCCCTCTGCCTCCAGCGCGCAATGCACCACGGGGTGCGTAGTCCTGGTTTATGTAGCTGTACGTGAACAGCCAAGGTCCGTGTTACTACAATTCCCAGTAGTCCTAGTCCATGCGCAGGCGCACCGCTTTCTCCTCCTCCTCCAGCGGCGGGGAAAGGAGGAGCTAAGGGATTGGGGGTGGGGGGAAATGGACCGCATGGGCTGTCGGGAACTGTAGGCTGGGCGGGACCGCAAAGAGAAAGGAAGAGGGAAACTTAGCTTCCGGCCACCTTACCGCCTCTCTTTGCTACTTCACCACTAGTCAAGGGCGCTTCCGATCAAGCGGAAGCAGACTTCTGGGAGACATGATTCTCTCTTACTTAGCTCGGGCTAGAGCGCTTTCCCCTTTGGTCAGGTATAATAGGCAAGGGCCCCTTACTACACACAGATATTCTAACACTACTTGTGTTAAATGTGGAAGTGACAATATTGTCTTTGAACTAATTTCACACAGAGGAATCAACCCATCCTTCCCACTGTGACGAGCATAAAGGAAGGAGGCAGGTGAAGATGGTCCCATTTTTCCCTTCATGGGCCCCAAGACGACGAAGAGCAGAAAATGGGCAGGAAGCAAAGCAGTTAAGTTGGTGGTTTCTTTATTGATCTTCTCCACCCCCAGCCCACTCCCACCCCTCCACCCCTACCCCGTGGGAGGGAAGATGAAAGGGGTGGAGGTGAGGGGAGGAACTGTAGGAACCCAAGTCCCTTGGGGAGTCTGGGAAGAAACAGAAACCAAAACAATCAGTGAGTGAGACAAAAAGAAAATGGGAATTGACAACCAAGGAGAGATTGGGGGAGGGCTGGAGGGAAGAGAGGAAGAGGCAGAAAAGGTTTAGGTCCACGGGAGAGAACAAGAAAATAGACATTGGGGGGGGTCCTCCTCTACCCTTGCCCTCCCCAACTGCAGCCAGAATGGGCTGAGGGAAAGAGAGTCTTAAACATTGCAAATTGCAGGCCTTGACAAGAGGTGGTGGTGTTTGTCTTCCAGCAAGGAGGAGAAACTGAGGAGAATGGGGTAGTTAGGGGATATGGAGAGGAAGAGACAGGGGAACCCTCACTCTTCTTAGAGAAGGGCCCCCCCACCCAGGAGTGGAAGGCAGCTTCACAGACCATAGACACTTTCGTCGCTGTAGGCAATGTATAGAAAGAAGTCTTCTTCGTGATGTTCCTAGGGTAGGGGGACAATGTTGGCATGAAGGTAATCTGCCCATGAATAGATCAAGTTCCTTAGAGACCCATACATCCCATCTTGCTCCAGGAAAGTTGGTCAGAATTACCTACTAACAGCTGCTGAAACATAGGATCCAGGAAAGGAATAGCTAATGGCTGCTCCAGCCACAGGACATAATTAACCTTTCCTGCCCACCCTTTCAGCAATCAAAATTTCCTATTAACTTCTAAGGATTAGGATCAGAATTGAGTGGGAAGCCAACTAGTTACCCAACCACTGTTGGTACTTTCTCAGCAATTTCACCTGAGCTAGGAAGGGAGTTGTTTTCTTAAAGCCCTTTCAGGGATTTTCTCCCACTACCCCCCTCTTCATACCTGGTAAAGCTGACCCATGGTGGCGCTGGTGGGTGGAATGACATTGTTGACAAAGAAAAATAGGGCATCCTCAGCTCGAAGGTGAATTCGCTTCCGGATCAAGAAGTAGAACTGACCAACTATAAGGAATGTTGGGAGGAGGGGTTGTAGAAAACTAAAATCACACTAGAGATCAGAGTAAGGCCTCAGGGGCTCATAGAAAGGAGTTGTCTACTTTGTGCCTCCAAATGGAATTCAGCCTACCATCTCCCCGCCCACCAGTGCCACCACCATGGATCAGCTTATTCAGTAATTCCCACCTGTGAGATCAGAAGGCACCAGGTATTTCTTCTTGTCCAGGTCACCTATCCGGGCCTTAGGAGCTTTTTCCACAATCACCTGGAAGAAGTGAGAAAGAGGGCACATAGATCAAAAAGCTATTAGGGTAGTATCACTGTGCCCTCCTCTCACTCCACAGCTTCCCTACAAACAGATCCTGGAGTATGATTTTGCCTCCCCTGATAGCTACACTTTTGGAAGCCCTGACACTGGGAATGAAGATGCCTTACCAGTAAAAGGACCTTCTGACCCCATTTTTTTCTCCAGGCTTCCCAGCAATTAGCATCCAAAAAAGGAAAGGAGTTAGTGAATCTCGCTTTGAAGGAGCAAGAGTTAAATGACTAGTGTCAGAAGTAATAAGTGTGTAATAACTATGTTAAATTGCAGATGGAATTTCAATTGAGGCACAAGTTGGATTCAGAGGTCCCTTTTAACTCTGAGATTCTGTATCCTAGGTGTCTAATAGTAATCCTCAACAGGAACCCTTGTAGTGATCCTATCAGAACCTAGATTTTCTCTAGAATAATCTGTCTTAGAATAGACAAAGTATAGCTTTATGAATAGATGTCCTAGCATTCCCATTCCCAGTTCATCAACCCATCCTGAAACCCTGGAAGTTTGTGTGAAATAGGTAAGGATCTCAATTTATACACTGGCACCAACTCAGTCGGGAGCTCCGACTACCACCAACTCCCTAATATCTAGCTCACCTTAGAAACTCGGCTCTAGTCCCTCTGATGTCTTTTTCGACTCCTAAACCACACCCACAAGCTAACCTCCCCCGCCTCCTTTCCCAGCTCTCCAGGGCTGCCTCTACAGATGGGGGAATTCCCTTCCCCGGCCCAGGAAGGCCCCGCAGCCTCCGGCCTCCCACAGTCCAAATCTTGCGTATCCCTAGGCGCCCCCGCTCTGGTCCTACGTCCCGACACGCACAGCCTGGCTCCGCCACGGAGAGTATAACGTCCGCCCTGCCCCGCCGCGCCCCGCCTCACCGGGACCCGATCGGGATACTTCTTGCGGATCTTCTCGCCTTCAGAGCGGCGCTTCTCGAACGGGTGCTCCTCCTTGTAAACGAACTTCATCCTCCCAGGGACCGGGCCGGGATGGGCTGAGGGGAGCGGGGGAGGGGAGGGCGGACGGGGCCGGGGCGGGGGGCAGCGGCGACGGAGACGGACGGCCGGGCGGGTGAACTCACTCGGCGGAGCGATCTCTGCGACCTGCGCCACTTCCCTATTCACCAACTCCGCCCCGCTTCCCCCGGCTCCACTGGGAGCCGCCCAGTCGCCCTGTATACGCCAACCTCGCAGGGGGGCGGGGTCTTCTACGCGGCGGGCGCAAGAACCGTCCACATCGCCTCCCTCTTACGCAACTGGAGTAACCGCTTCGGAACGGGTTTACGAAAGTACGGCAACGGATTCGCTGTCCCGATACGCACGGTGAAGGCGACTCAGACTATATTTCAGATTTCAGACGCCATGGGGGTGTGAGCAGATGAAGACTTTTTAACCACTAGGGATCCCGAAAGGAAATGCAGACAGTTACGACGAGCGGATTCACGAAGCGTGGTGCTACGCAAGGAATTTTGCTGACATCAAAACAAAATAGTGCCAAAGTGGGAAAGGAAGATAAAGGTCGGAAACCAGGAAGGCACCTGGATTAACATGGAGTGCAAACAGCGCATAACCCTGAAGCCGGTGGGGCACTAGGGTCCCAAAAGATAAAATGAAGAAGGGACGCGAATTACGTCAACACAAGACCTATAGATACGTGAGGCGTCATAAAAACGGTGGGGGGAAGAGAACAGAGTATGTCACGTGACAAGGAAGTGGAAGTAGATCCGGTGTGGAACTGACGTAGAAGGGAGCCAATGAGGGCGAAAGAAATGAGGAGCCTGTCACTACACCCCGCCCAGAACCTGTGTGTCCACCCTATCCTGCTTAATTCTCTTAATCGCAGCAGGGCAGTCGTAAACAACCACCTTCCCCTATACCATTTCAAAATCTGACCAGCCTCTCTTCCTAATCCAGATGCACCTTAGCGTCCTCCCTCAGGCACCCCTTCACCACTAGGCAAAACATAAACTCTCCCTTTTCATCGTTCCTCTCCATTAGTCCACCAAAACTCTCTGTTTACCCTCCCAAAGCAGGGGAGGATGGGGCAATAAAAACCCCTTCCCAGTGGCCCACCCACTGTCTTTCCCATGATCCCACAGATGGGGCCTGGGCAGCTTCAATTTCAGTTATAATGCATGGTTCAATGGGGATAGAAGACCTGGGTTGGGAAGAGGCAGAAGATGTTTACAAGTGGGAAAGGCAAGAGAAGGACGAGTTAGCAATATTTTGGGAGGGAGGGTAGAAATCGGTGGGCTGCACGAAGCCCTGGGTTCCCCTCCCAAACCCACCCCTCGGAGTAGCAGTGAAGAATTAGATCTGTTTTTTACAAGAGTTTAAAAAAAAAATCAAATCACAACAGAGCTGGTTTAGCATCTGTCTGACCCTCCCGGGTCAGTCTCTCCCTACCTCTGACCAGTCTTTCACCCCTGATACGGGGGCTGTTTTGGCCCTCCCAGGCCACAGTCTGTATCCCAACCTGGAGTTTCCAGGGAGTGTGTGAACATGGTGAGGCTGTTTCAGTATCTGGGCTTGTATGTCCATCTGGCCTCCAAGTGGAGTGTAGATGGCCCAGGCTAGGCAGTCCTCAGAAATGGGCTGGGGATGGAGCAAGCAGCCCAAGGGCTCTCCCTCCCCTCCCCCACTCCATTTGTGTGCATGGGGGGGGAGTGGGGGGAGTGGCTGTCACCAGAGCCGATGTTGGTGAAGGTTTCGGCTCAGCACAGAGCGGACGTCGGCAGTGAACCTGGGGTAGGGGAAGAAGGGAATAGTAGGGGATAAACATTCACCCACTGACAACGGATTCAGGATCCCTAGGTCTCCTTTTCCTCCAGCCCCTAATTTCCTCCAGTAACAAAAGACATTTTATATGGTGTAGTTAATGACTACAAAGTGCTTTACATAAATTATCTCATTTGATCATAACAGAACAATCCTGTGATATAAGTACTACAGATATACCCATTTTACAGATGGCAGGTTAAGGGACTTGCTTGTACTCACAGAGCTACAAGTGCTAGAGGTGAGATTTAAACCCAGGTCTTCCCAACTCTTAAGTCTAGCATTCATTCCATGATACCTCTCCAGTACCCAGACCCAAGTGTTCAACCCTGGCCTTCTCACCTGAGAGCATCCAGCATAGGGAGTAGGTTGAGGAGTGCTGTGTCACTGGGGTCACTAAACCAGGACTTGATTGGGATGGCATTATCTGGAAGTAGGGATCAAGAAAATAAGATTGAGCAAGTTTGAAAAGATAAACTATTAACTACCAAGCATTTGCCTTACAACCACACTGTGAGGCAATGCATTATCACCTTTATTTCACAGATGAGAAAAAGGGCTCATAGTTTAAGTGACTTACCCAAGGTTAGACAATTAAATATTTGAACAAAGAGCTAGTATTTCAAGTCCAGTGGTTTTCCCAATTTACCTCTTCCCTGAATATCCTTTATTCAATATACGAAAATTAGCTATATTTTATAGCTCAGTTTAATCATAGTTTGATCATAGAAAGCTACTGGAGGGGCAGCTAGGTGGCGCAGTGGATAGAGCACCGGCCCTGGATTCAGGAGGACCTGAGTTCAAATCCAGCCTCAGACACATAACACTTACTAGCTGTGTGACCCTGGGCAAGTCACTTAACCCCATTGCCTAACTCCCCCCAAAAAAAGCTACTGGACAATTATGATCTATTACAATTAAATTGCTACATTTGAAAATGCAGCTTTGTAAAATAAATTTAGGAGAGTTTAGTTTACAAAAGAATTTGTCACAGTATTCTTTTTAAAAGCGTCCTCTCTGACTGCATTTAGAATAATTTGACTCAAACTTCGTAAGCATATGTATTAAGCAAAAGATCAATAAATTAGGACCTCTTGTTGGTACAATATTAAAAACAAAAGCCTCTCTCCCAAAATGCTTTTACACCATTCTGATTTATTACTACAACAGTGGTCTGAAGAAGAGCAGGGAAGGATAAGTCTGCCCATTTTATAGAGGTTACACCCCTAAGTCAGTCAGTGGCTGAATAGAGTACCCACCACGCCTCCCCTGGCCACTTTCTAGGGCTTCCCTTAACCCTCCTACCTGGATGGCTCCTATAGGCTCCTGGGGAGTTATCCAGGATCACAATGCTGGAAAGGTCACTGTGGACTACAGAGAGGTCCTTGATGTAGCTGCCCAACTCCAAAGTGCAGTGCTGGGAGGTGGTGTAGACAAGGGCATTAGCTAAGAAGAGACAGACCCCCTCTGGGGCTGGTTCCTAAAATCCCAACTTGCCCCAGATCTTTAGTTGTTCTCACATTCTAATGGTGGTGGGGAAAAAGGGAAGGAAGCTACCTCCCTAGCCCTTTCACCTAATGAAAGGGGCTGTATTAGCAATGTTATCTCCTTGCCTGAAAACCTATAGATCTGCTCCCCCCACCCTCAAGGATATTAACATCTGGGCTCCCAAGCCCTATTTTCTTAAAAAAAAAAAAAAGAACACAGGCCCCTTACCTGTCTGTAGTATCGTCTCTTAAGTATGCTCCGGCTATTGTCCAACTTGTCAGCCACAGCTGAACCATAAATCTCCATGCTTGCTGTAAATACTACCAGCTCATACCACTGGCTCACCTGAAGGGAAAGGAAATGGAAAGCTATCACAGGCTGAGATGCTCACATCATCTCTATGAAGCAGGTACCAAACCCACAATCCCTGGTTATGTCTTTCATTCTTTTTGAGGATCAAAATATGCTGCCCCCAAATTCAAAAGGGTAAAGATAGAAGGCTCAAAAATAAACAGAAGCTAATGGCACAGCTAGAGTTGAAGAATAAGACCACAATAAAACCACCCTTACTAATTCCCATCCATTCCTATACTGCCGTTGCTCCAAGTCTCCTACATACAACTAACCTCTATCCTCATCCTCCCTAGATCCCAACACTCACTCCATAGTCCCAATCCTTTACAGCTCCTAGATTCTGAAAATTACTTTTTTCTTTTCTAAAACAACCTCCCCAATTCCCTTGAACTCCCCAAGACTTACCACTTCTAAGAAGAAGTCCACATGGGGCCTCTTATGTACAAAAAAACGGACAGGATGTTTGTCTATTACGACCTGTGGGGGGGGACAAGGAGGGGCTTGGGGGGAAGCCCTACTAGCATCCCCTCCCTGGAGAGATTTTTGCCCCACCAGGTTTACCCCAGTCCCAAGGAACAAGGAACAGAAAACCCCAGGAGGAGGAGTTGAAGAAGAAAGAGTAAAAGGTAATGGGGGCATGGAGAGGAGAAGGGCAGAGTAGTGGCATATACATCCATCCCATTCACCCTCAGACCTTGAGGATGAAGTCAGGAGGTGTTCCTGGTCGAACTGTAGGCCTGAGGACCCCATCATGGTGGGAGTGAATAAGAGTTTCATCCAAATCCAGCACTAGTATCTTTCGCTTTACCTGGGCTAGAAGCAGAGGGTGGGGGGAAAATGAGAACTTTGTTACAGAGTTTTTTGGCTTCTCCAAGGCATTTACTAGTGGCTAACCTTCAGGCTCCATCCATCCTACTCTCAGTTTTAACCTTCAATGGTTTCCCAAGGTTCCAGGTACTCACCAAGCCGGTTTCGGGACACAGGGGATAGAGGAAGGATGTCATATCGAACAGTCTGATACTGAATTATCTAGAGGCAACAAGAAAAAGTATAAGGACTTTTGACTAGAGGAAGCCCTTTCGCAATAAAAGCCAGGCACCCATAAAGTTCTATCTTAGCCCACACTATATCCCAAGGATGTTTTATAGCAGCTCTTAATATTGTCTTATCATTGTAGACTGAAATGGAGCTAGATACTTGGGTCTCTGATCCCTGAATAGTGTCAGTTGGAATGACTATTCTTCCGAGGAAAAGAGCTGAAGACTGGGAGGAATTCCAGGGTCTGAGGGGGAATGAGGGTCTGATTGGGGACTGAAAGGTCAGTCCCCTAGGGTGTGTCTCACCTGGGCCTATGCATATTCAGAGATTGTCAGGTCAGTTAAGTTCTCCAGGCCAAGGGCCATGAAGCCTATTTTAACCAGCCACCTGTCCACTTCCATCATCACTAGCAGTCATGGGTTACATAGGACCTTGGCCCCCAAGACAACTCTCCCTAGGTGCTCAGTCTAACTGCTGAAAGCCCTAGCCTTTTAGGCAGATTTGACTGGTTATTAGAAAGCCTAAAGCATTAATTTCCAAGGAAAGTTGAGACAGATCCATCTCTCCTCCCTCTCCAATCTCAAGCTTTCTGCTCTTTCTCCCTCTTCCCTGCTCAGAACTATACGAATTCCTAGTTCTCATAGGACCATAAATTAAGAGCTGGAAAGAATCAAGGCCCTCACTCTACATAAGGAAACTGAGGCTCAGAGGGGTTAAGTGATTTGTCTTACATACCTACTGTGAGGTTTGAATCTTGAGGTGTGATTTGAACCCAGGTCTTTACTAGAGAAGCTCCAATACCCCACCCTACTGAAGCCCAAAGCCATCTTGGATTGATGTCCTTATTTACCTGACTCCAGATCTTACTTCCTATAGGAATCTAGACTTCTTGACACAGGTGTTTTGTAAAAATCCAAGTGTCTCATCCCTCCCATTTCCATGATATTTCCCCATTCCCTGTTCTCTCCACCCCAGGATAGGGCATGATTGGGACAGGTGACAGCTAGGGCACCCTATACTATCTTGGACTGCATATGCTAAGCATGTAGGGAAATGCTCTAAGCAGTTGCCAACAGAAAAAGAAGGGGAGCTGCCTGGAAATGGGAGGACTTAGGAGTCTGGCTTGGCTCTGGGATATAGACCAACTACAGAGATAATTTTGGAGGTCCCTATCCCCAGTACCAAGACAGACTGGAATTCCTCCTCCTATACCTGGGATAAAATGAAGCATGGGTTTGGAAAGATGACGAGGATGTAGGGCAAGGTCAAGCAGAAAGATATCTCAGGAGAATAGACCTAGTGTAGTAGGGATAGCAAAAGTAGTAATGGTTCACATTTACATAGCACCTGTTTGAAAATAACTTCACTATTCTGTGAGGTGGGTAGTACATTTCCTATTTTCAGGATGTGGAAATTGAGGCAGAGAGATTAAGTGATTTGTTTTAAGGAGTCATATAGCTATTGTCAGAGCCAGAACACACCCCCCCCCCCCCGGCCTCAAATTCCCTGTCCTCTACTTCTCTTTCTCAATCCTAGCTCTCTTAAGAGGTTCAAGGGCTCAGGCCTTAAGGATAGTGGTGGAAACCCTCTCAATACCCTGACAGAAAAAGACAAATTAAAGGTTAAGCCCATGGCCTCAAACTGAAGGGGTCAATACACCCTAAAATCCAAGGGAAAGGACATTCCTAAAAGTCTCTGTTTTGTTTTACTTGGAATTTCAGTGAAAGTTGTGGGGCCAACTTAAGGGACTCTTCTACATCTGCCCTCTGTGCCCATAAATTCTCCCTTCCTGGAGGATTTTTCTCCCATGAGGATGAGAATAAGCTGGAGTAAAAAGCTAAAGTCTGAAAACTATATCTTAAGGGGAAAGGTTACAGAGGTAATTCACCCAAATATTTCCATGAAGCAATGGGCCTCACTAGGCTCTTCCTCTCAGCATACATTTATAACACTCACACACACTCTCTCTCTCTGGTTCTTCCAACTAAGGGGTCATTCATGCTTCACCTAGTAGATATCCAACTCAAAGTATCACTCAGTCCAACTACGATTTACACATGAGGAAAACCACCACCCAGGAGACTCACCAAAATGTCATGTTACACACACCTTCACACTTCAAACTTTTCCTAAAGGTTTTTTAAGTCTCCTCTGGCAAGAGGCTCTCTTTACCCTCATATTCTTGCTTAAACTCCAGGTCCTTTTCCACAGGGGTCTCCTTCAATTCTAACTTCACAATGGCTCCTCCCCTTTGCAAACGTGACTCAATTCTTGTTATAAGAGGTTAGTGGAAACTTGAGGACCCCTTATATACACAAAATTTCCACAGAAAAGTCCCTCCACCAACCCAGATCCCTAGGTAAAAATCAGGTTCTTCAAAAACAATTAGTTTATTTATAGAAACCCTCCCCTATATCAACAAGGCCTACCCCTTAAACAAATTTTGGGGCCTTGTCAACAGGGCTTTCTATGAAGTACCCTTCCTTCAAATCCCTACCCTACTAAAGGAAAGTCTCAACCAGCTCAAGGGTGGAGGTTCCCCCAGCAGGCCATCTCACAATATACATGCTTACCCAACTCCTGTCCTAGACCCAACGAGAGTAGCCCACCAATTACTCCGGATTGCTTCTCCCGATCCCCCCAAAATCCAGCGGGGGGGGGGGGAGAGAGCTCCAGCCGGCTTGCTGACACCCCAGTCTCACCGTTCGGACCTGTCTCCGAAGAAGGTACAGGCAGAAGCTCCAGAGCTTGGCAGCAAAGGCCACGAAGGTGCGCAGACCCAGGAGACATTGAGTCCTCATCATCCCGACGCCCCTGGCCCTGATGGCCCTGGGGGCCCCGGGGCCCGGCTCAGCCAGACCCCAGGGGGCAGTGCCTCCCCTTCCCCCCTCCCGCTGTTGGGAGGGGAAAGGTATGGGGTTGAAGCACTAGAAAGCTACAGCTAGGATACGAGGGGATGCAGCTCAAGGAGGTCTCCCCCAAAGGAGAGAAATATCCCCAAGGAGTAAGAGGAGAGGTATGGCAAGTCCTTAGGGACCCGTGGGAGGCTCACCCTAAAAGAAGGGGGGAAGATACGCGTTAAATGGGGGCCAGAGATTTTAGGGTAGGGTCTTTGGACGGAGAGGAAAGGGGGTAGATGGGGAGGGGGGAGGGAGGAAGAAGAGGGAAGCCCGCGACGCAGGCGCACTAGGTGGCTGAGTGCAGGAAAGCCGGCGGGAGGAAGGGAAGGGCTGGGTGAGCAGGGCGCGCGGAGCTGGGAATGAGGAAGGAGAAAGAGAGAGAGCGGAAAGAGGGGAGGGGGAGCCACGGAGTATGAGGCGCGTGCCTGAAGCTGGTCTCCCCCCCCCCACACTCGGGGGATGCCTTAACCGCTCGGAAGCAGGGCCGCTGCCTCTGCCGCCACATCCCCGAGCCTGACAGGCGCCATTTTACCGCCTAGAGTCCTCCCTCTCCCACTTTCCTCCTCCTCCCTTCTGACATCATTTCCGGCGACCCACCCACGTACAGCAATGGCGGTAGAGGCTACATCCGGACTCATCTACTCACTATCCTCCCATCCGGCTGTACTGCGCAAGCTCCTGACTGAAGCTACTAAATCACTCCCCAGAAAAGAACTGGGAGGGAGTGGAGGGTGGGGGTGGGGCGGAAGGTGGATCTTGGTGAAAGGGGATTGGTTCCTCCTCTACCCCACCCCCGACTTCTAGTGAGCCGGAAATCAGAGAAACGCGCGGGACTACAGGAGTGACGTATTCTCAGGCTGTGGCCTAAATCTTTGCGTTTTAGCATATAGTAGTGCGGTGCGCACGCGCCGCCCCTCCTCCCACCACCTAACCTCAATTGCCCCCAATGGCTTTTCAAGTCCTTCCGCGTGACCTACTGCAATGCACCCCTCCCCCTCTCTCTTAAAGAAAAGCAGTGCGGTCAAAAGTCAGACGACTTCTTATGTCTCTACGTTTGGTTATGCTCCGTCCTGTAATAAGTTCCGTTCGTGGGCAACCGGGCAGGAGGCTCGAGGATCCCTCCAATACTTCCCCGCACCCTTGAGTTTTCATTCTTCAGGGCCGCCCCACACCAACTCCCATTTCAAATTTCTAAAAATCACTGTATAGTCAGATCAGGACCTCAGTCTTGCCTGGGCACTGCCTCGGGCGCCGAAGCTAACCGGTGACGTCACAATGCGGGCTCAGACAGGCCTCAGGAAGGGCCGGGGAAGGGGGGGCGTGGCAGGAAATCAGTCCGCCTACGCAGGCGTCCGAATTCTGTGACGCCATCAACACGCGACCAGCCCGCTGGAAGGAAGCCAAGCTCGGGACAGAAAATGCTTCGGTGGCTCCCGGCCGGTGGCGCCCTGGGGCCTTTAGGAGGTCACGGTGCTGGCGAAAGAGCAATGAGGGAGCGAGGTAGGAGACGTGGTAAAGTGGTTCGAAAAACCTGGGACTTCGGGCGCAGTGCATGGTTTTCACCCTGATCTCGGTTTGAGGGGCAGAGTTTAGGAAGGGGCTTTGGCACTGGAGCTTAGGAGAGCTCTCGTTTGGGTGTGGGGACTTTGACTGGCTCTGAATTTCTAGCGAACACCTGTCCCCGCGTCCTCACCCTCTTGGGTGGGAGTGCCACACAGCCTGTTTTAGGAAGTAACCCCGAGGTGAGCCTCTCTCCCACGCTACTTTGGGGACTCCCTCACCCCTCTACCTTAAGGAACTCTCTTGAAAGCCTACCTTGTGTCTTTTGCAGAGGGAGGGAGGTTGAAGTCTTGGGTTGAGGTGATGGGAAGAAGCATTCAAAGAAAGTTTGAATTCGGATACCCACAGCGGGTGAGAGAAAAAGCAATACATGAATGAAGGGAGTAGTGCCCCTCCCATTCATTGCTTCCTCCCCCCTCCCCCCCTCAGTTCATTCATTGAAGGAAGATTTGGGGGAAAAAAATCAGATTCAAGTAGAAAGGCAGTAATAAGATTCAGGTAGAATCCAACAGGTACTCCGAGACAGAAATAAAAGGGGAAAAAAAGCTGTATGCCAAAGCCAGACTACCAGACTGTACTAAAACACTTACATTACGCCTACTGCTGAATGAAGTTCAAGTTCCCTGTGCCCAGATCTTTTGCCCCCTTGCATAATTGGCTTCATCTTATGTATACAGCTCCCTGACATGTGCCCTCCATTTAATTCAATTTGGTATTGGTATACTTTTCATTGTACAACGTTCCCATTAATTCTTGTCTATCTCAGTTTCCTCAGCTTGTAAAGTGGGAACAATAGTAGCACTTCATAGGGTTGTTTTAAGGATCAAATGAGATTATATTTGTAAAGTACTTAGCCTAGGACCTGCTTACTAAATGCTCTTTCCCTTCTCTTCCCCCTTTCCCTCATCTCTGTGACTTTGATCATGCTGGAATCCCTGTCCAGATCCGTGAAGTTGCCTCCAGCCCACACTGATCTCTCTCTTTTCTGTTCTCCTATTGCATTAATAGTAAATACCGTAAATTTTAGTTTTCAGTGCCGTATTTATTCAAATTATATTTAAGAAGCTTGTTTCTCTCAGTGTCCACTTTGTCTTTTGGCTTTTTGTATCTACCACAGTACTGATGATTGGTAGGCACTCATTAAATTTGAGTTGGTTGATTGGTTAACAAAAGTATGGAAGGCTACAGATAAGGGAGCTCCAGACCTAGGTTAGAATTGGGAAGAAAATGGTTGGAAGAAGAAGGCTATAGGAGGTGGGGTGGGGAATAGTCAGTCACAAGCAAAATTAGCTTTCTGATCCTTAAGGGGAAAATAAAAGGGGATAGATAAATATAAGGGGGTATCTTTGATTGCCTCTTAGATAATTGGGGATTGACTGAACAAATTGTGATTGGTAAATGTAAGAGAATATTACTACATTTTAATAAATCATGAAAGAGATTATTTCAGTTAAATGCTGGGTATATCAACTAATGCAGAGTGAATTGAGCATTACAAGGACAACAGGGTTATAAAGAAAACTTTGAAATGTTTAAGAATTCTGATTAAAGCAGTGATCAACCAAATCTCTGGAGAAACTAAAGCATATTTTATCCACTTCCTGACCGAAGTGATGGACAAAAGGTACAGACATGCATTTTTTGATGGCCACTGTGTAGATTGATTCATTTTGCTTGCTTTTGCTTATTTATTAAGGCTTTTTAAGTTGAAGGGCAATGGGGGTTAGCAATAAGTGTACAAAAGAGGGCCATTGTAACACTTCAGAAGTACACCAAAAAGAACAGAAAAAAGCACAGATAAGTAGAACAATTTTGAGAATAATATATAGAATTTATATGCTTTTTTTTTAAAGCAAGAGGTGCTAAATGGAGATTCAGGGTTTCATAAAGAATTCTTTTGTGTTCTTGTATATTGAAATGCTTTTTAGTGTTTAGGCTCAGAATTTAATGGTTTTTGTTCTTTTCTACTCTTCCCTTGTGAGCTTCTTTACTACATGTCTTCAGAGACCCACTTGTGCTGGGTGAGACCTTCAAGTGAGACCTTGAAGCCTTGAGAGCATTTTTTTGGAGAGAGGACCCTGACCTTTGCACCCTTGTTTTGGATTTGATAGCCATCTGTTGCTTCTTGCTCCCAGCAGCTTCCTTCCTCTTCCATATTCTGTAGTCTCTGGGCCATGGGAACTTCATACATATTTTGGTGAGAAACCTTCATTCTCCCTTATATTCCATACTTTATCCCAATCCCAAATCAGCCTGCCATGAATAGGGTCCTTCTTTGTGTTTTTCGTGACTTCACATGTATAATGTATATCATATTACTTGCCCTCTCAAGGGCTGGGAGGGTGAAAATTTGAAACTCAAAATTTTTAAAAATGTTTTTAAAATTTTAAATGTAATTGGGAAATATTTAACAAAATAAATAATATATTTGAATACAACAGGCTTTTCCCATTCCTTTTGTTGCTTCTCTTTTTTCCTCTTAGCCTCTTCTTCCTGGTCCACCCTGTTTTTCTCTACTCCTATTCTGAGTTCAATTCTTGCCCTAATGTACCCTACTTTACATAATGCCCTCAGTTCGCTCATATCCTGTTTGCCTTTCCCCCTGCCTTTCTTTCCCCCATGACAAGTTTATGTGGTAGGACTGCTACATGAAGACATTCGTGGGTTAGGTCTCTTGGGTGTCTTGAATATTCTGGCTTAGTTTGAAGTGACAAGATAAAGGTGGGCCTTTGGGAGGCTGTTTGTCCAGTGTTTGTTAGGAGCAGGATTAAAGGATGAGGAAGAAGAGGTAGAAATTATGTAGTTATGAAGTAAGGGAATAGAGCGAACTTGAAAAAGGATAGGGGTCGGGGTGGAACCAGCTAGCCACAATTTGGTTCTGAGTACCTCTCTTCCCTTCTTTTAATCCTTTTCTTCCTGATTCTTTTCATTTAGATTCATTAGTTCTCTATCCTGCCCAACTTCGGTATAGGAATCCCTAGTCCTACTGAAGAAGCCCCTCACTCCCAGGGCTATGGGATGTATCCAGTTCCTACAAGTTCATGTATTTGATCAGGGAGAGCTTAAGGAAGGCTGGTGTCTAGAGAGGTAAGGGGTGATATCTAAGGATTTGGAGAATTAAAGAATTTGGAGGTGGGAAGGTTAAACTAAGGGTGGGACAAGTTCTCAGTATCCTCTGCTCCCATAGGTGTGGATTCCATGAGATTTGCCCTGCTTGTCCCAGAAGAAGAGGGAAGCCTGGAATATCCTGGCCCTGCCCTTCCAGTTCAGTTTGGAAAAGTAAGGCTTCTTAAGAATTGGAACTGTGAAAGTAAGACTGTGATTGTTAGGGATAGATATCTGGGTCTCAAGCAGTGGGGAATTAAATTAATGATTGCTAGCATTTATATTAAATTTTGCAAAATTGTTTACATGTGTTAGATCAACAACCCTGTGAGGTAGGTGCTGTTACGATCCCCATTTTACAGATGAGCAGACTGAGTTTGGGAGAGTTTAAGTGACTTGTCCAGGGTCACACTGCTAGTAAGTGTCTGAGACTGGCTTTGAACTTGGGTCTTCTTGATTCCAAGTCCAGCACACTCCATTGAAACCACCTAGCTCCCCAGAGTAAAAGTTACTGATTAACCTCTCAAACCTCTAGAGGGACTAAAGTCCTTTCCTAGCTGATGATATGTCTGGGGAGTGGCTCTACCACTGCTTAGAGATGGGTAAGCAAGAACTGAGGAAAAGGAGTTTGAAGTCTTCATGAGTTCCATGGTTCTATTTGTAACCCCCAACTCCCACCGATTCTTGGAATTCTTAGAATGTGACCGGGACTGGTCCCTTGGGAAAAAGGAGGCAGAATAACAATAAACACTTCTACCACCTTCTTGGGAAGTTCCAGATAGAGTGGAGATTGAACACAGACTGACAGGTGTTCATTAAATACCTGTTGCATTGTGTGGCCACTAGGGGAAAAAAGCTTTAGCAAAACCACTATTTCTCCAATCATGTTGAGGAGATAAGACATACCCATAACAATATTACAAGTACTACCAAATTAGAAGTGACTGAAGGAATAGCCCTGGAGGAGTACACTGTGCAAAGGCTTGAACATCCCTTTATTCTAACACTATACTTTTTTTCCTCTTTAGGCAGCAATCTTTGCTTTATCCTGCCCTAGCCTCTTCCACCAACCTTATATACATGTGTTTTATGGGTCTAATTCTGATGACTACCTACCTAGAAGATTCAGACAATGACCTGGATATCTGATGGTGCTGATGGACTGACTATGAATCCTGACTAACCTTGACCTACTCCCTGCAGCTATACAGTATACAGTCACACTTCAGTTTGTAGATTATGTTCTGAAATCCGTGTGTAAGCCACAGTGATACAGTTAAAATTAGTCTTGAAATGTCTCATAAAATACATTATAGTATCTTTAAACAGTTATAGCTGGAAAGGAGCTAGGGTCTCTTTGAAGGAAGGCAGTCTCTATCAGAGAGTGAAGAAACTGAAGTTGTTACTATAGAAATAATTGAAAATAAAATTTTATTTTTCATTATATTCAACTTAACTGTTGGTCAGGAAAGTAACTGGTCTCAAAGGAAAAATAAAAGATATATTCTTAACTAGTAATGAAAACCAATGGCATGGGGAAAACACTTTTTTTACAGTGTAAATACCTTTAATCAGTTGATCAATAAACATTCATTCACTTATTTATCCATTTGTTTATTTTGTTTATTTATTTGTTTATGTAGGCGGTTGGGGTTAAGTGACTTGCCCAGGGTCACACAGCTAGTTAGTGTCAAGTTTTTGGTCTGAGGCCGGCTTTAGAACTCAGGTCTTCCTGACTTCAGGGCCGGTGCTCTATCCACTGTGCCACTTAGCTGCCCTGGAAAACATATACTTGAAAGGGCTTTATACATAAGTGTTATTCTATTAAAAGTGGACCTTTTCTTTCTTCACCACAAGGAAGGCCAAGGGAATACTGACCAGAAACCCCAGGAAAGGTAACTAAGACTGCCCTTCTCATTAGCTTTACCAAGTTCAAGAGAAGGGATTGTGGGTATAATGAAAAGGAGTCACTAGAGTCACCCTCATTCCATGGCTTGTCCTCACTGAGTGGAATGGCAGATTCTACCTGTATCATCTAAATTGTTTTTCTCCCCTTTTTCAGTAAGTTAAATTGAATCAAGGCATATCATGTATGATGAGACCCATATAGCATCTGCTTTACGTTTGCATAGGACCTGTTAGGACTGGAAGATACTCATCCTGATACCTTTTTACCTTCATCCTTGTCTACCTCTTTTTTCAGATATCATTGACCTGAATCAGTAGGGCAACTCCTCCCTAGGGAAGTAGAAGTAGAATGGGCTGCTTCTAATGAGAAATTTCATACCAAAAAATGCATTTTTGCAGAAAGCTAGAAAATGATATATATGAGAGAGCCAAATCTCTTGGCCATTGTGAAGAATGAGCCATGAGAGTCTAGGGTTGGTGAATGGTCTTGGAACTGGGTCCAAAGTAATTCAGGAGAACTTAGAAAGAATTAGGTACTGAATCAACATAAGAATGAGACAAGCATTGGGATAGATATGAAAGGTAACTGACATTTATAAACTTATAGAACCTCAGATGGGAATAGAGGCTGAATACTTTAGGAAAAGGACAGCAGGGGCTGGGTGGAAGTGAATGAGACAGCACAGGTGTCAGATGTCTGGCCCCAGTGCAGAATAGCCAAGATCCAAAACACAAACTTCTTTATTATTATACAAAAAGAACTGCTCATACCCTTTACCTCCCACCTCCCGTTCCCCATTCCCCTGGTCTTCCAGTAGACTACATCTGTAGTAGTTAGAAGAGCCTGGAGAACTCTGCCCTCCCCCTTCTCCACTGGCTCAGATTTCTCTTCTAGTCTCCTCCTCACCCCTTCCCATCCTGAATTATATTTCAGGCCCCTGACCTTTAGGGAATGGGGTGAGGGGGGGAAATGTGTAGGAAACCCAGCTCTTTCAGACATACTCCTTAGCAGAATTGGTATTGGGGTAGGAGCGTGGGGACCGGTACTGTGCTTTGCTCTCTGTAACTGGGCAAGACCAAGAAAGGAGTCCACCGCCCAAGATAACCAGGCTAGAGCCAGCCCAGCCGATGAAAATGGCAGAGCCAAATTCGTACCTGTGGAGAGAAGCAGAGGAGTTTTATGATCAAAGTGTCCAGTTACTTGGCCTATAAGCTGTGAGGACTCTGTCATTATTCCTGCAATACTCCCATGATTTCCTGCTGCCATTTATGACCCCAGGCACCTAAATAGAGTCCAATACTTACTTATTATTCGTAGCGACCAATACACTGTAAAAATCTGTTATGATCTGGTGGCCATACCAGGAACAAGCTACGAGGGCTGCAAGACCTGATGGGGAAAGGAATAATGTATTCAGAGATCCTCCCTTAAAAGCTAGTATCCCACTTTACAAATCCTTAAGTGTCTAAAAACAGGAGATTTGTCCAGGGGAAACCTGAAAGAAGTCCCAGATCTAAAGCAATGTTACTAGACTGTCAAATAGGAGAGGGGAAATGGGGCTTCAGGGAGGGGAAACCTAGTCTTAGGGTGTGGGGAGGGAGGCAAGGACCACTTACCAGCCACAATGAAGATTATACCGCCTGTCATGGCAATTCGAGCCTTCTTCACCTTATCATCACCCCCACATCGTGTACACTTCATGCCCATAGCAGCCACCATCATAGCCAGAAAGCCCAAAACCAGGGATATCACCATCAGGGCCCGGGTGGCCTGTATGAAACCTGGAAAAGGGAAGAAGGCTTATTGTCATTGCCTTCAGTTAGGGGGAGCAACAAGTCCTCTAATTTATTGGTAGAGAGAACTCCCCAGGTGAGGAAATTCTGCTAACCTATACCTTCTCTGCAGCTTACATTCTTAGTGAGTTGCCTAGGTTCACACAGCCATGTTAGAGGCAGATCTTGAATCCAGGTCTTAATGGCTCCAAAACCATTAAATCCCCTATACAACATTGTGTTATCACCTCTGCCTTCCCACTTTTAATTGAGTCCCACGTTATTTCTCTAGATGTATTGCTTTTCTGAGATCTAGTAACTCATTTCTAATTGTCTACCAGACAATTACACCTGAATTTCCACCAATACTTCAAACTCCATATATACTTTAAATGAAATTCATCACCTTTCCCCTAAAAAACCTCTCCCCACCCCCAAACAGTTGCCAAGTTCTGATAATTTTACTCCAACAATATTTTTCCCACCCACTTCACACACACTGCTACCACTGTAGTTTATCTCACCTGGACATAATCTACTTAATAAGTCTACTTCCTTACCAGTCTCTGCTTTTAATCTTTCCCTCTCTCTAATCCATTTTTGATTGAGGAGCCAAAATAACATTTTTCAGTGGCCCACTCAGATCACATTTCTTGTCTACTAAAAAATCATCAATTTTTCTCTGTCTTACTGAATAAATTCCTGCTTCCATGCAAGATCATCTGTAATATCTGACTCCAATCTTACTACACTTCATATACTCTAATGGTCTGCCAAAGGGGACTAATTATTCATCTAGTTTTGTCCTCTCTTCTGACTCTTGGCTCTCCTCCTCTCTTCCTTGACTGGATTTGAAATGGATTCCCATCTCTGCCCTCCTTTCCTTCAAGGCCCTTCATCAATCCTGGCTCCTGAAGGACTCAGGTAAGCTCTCCCTACTCAATAGTACTTTGCCTGGATCTCTTATTCACTCACCTGTTCTCCGTGGTTTAACTGTGTTCATGCCTTCCCCTCACTGTTTTGTTGTAGTTAATTAAAAGTTCACATTTATAGTTTATATAATGCTTACTGATTTACAACTTTCCTCAGAGCAACCACCTGAGGTTCCTAGTGCAAATTTCTTTGAAGGCAAGATCTGTATGTTTTTGTAGTTGTGTTTCTTGGACCCATTATTGGACCTTATTACACGCAAATAAGGCGCTTTATTGAATACAACGAATGCTTTAGGAAGCAAGGTCCCTATTTCCTCTCGGGATCCAGGTATCCCAGCTTCCTCCATAGCGAGCAACCGTCTTTATTCCCCTCCCACTGACCCCTGTACCCTTCGGGAGTGGCTCATCTTTCAGCCATCCCGCAAACCTAATCCTCGTTCCTAATTTCAATATCTGGACTCCTCTCTACACACGGGTCCCAATTTTGTTCATATAACCAGGCCTGGGCCCTTTCCCTCAACTCTCCTCTCTTCCTGGGGTCCAGTCAGCAGTAGCCGGATCCTTCCTCTCTTCCCCCGTTCCTGCTCCCTCCTCCCGCACCTGAGCCTTCCTGTTTAGTCCCTGCCTCGCCCCGCCCGAGGAGCCTCACCTCAGCTCCTGGACAACGCCCGGGGCGCCCAAGTTTCGGCGAAACTCTCAGGGGGAGCGGCTTCGGGGAACAGAGCTAGCCCCTGCAAAGACCCCGAAGTCCAGCCTGGCCCAGGCTCTGAGTGCCGAGCCGCACCCTTTGACCTCCCTCCGGCCTTACTATCAGCAACCTCGGGTGCTAGTTACTATAGCTAATCAGGGAGATAAGATTAGAGGCTGTGGCAGCCGGCTCCGAGTCCCGCGGAGACTCAGGCATTCCGGCCCCCAGTTTTCCCATTGCTCTCTAGTTCGCCGAAGTGCCTACGGGACCGAAATGTTAGATTGCTGGCAGTGAGTTCTTCCTTCTGCTCCCACCCATGCTCGGGCGCAAAGAAACACAAGTACTCTGCATCCGTTAAAGACCTAACTTCCCACAGGCTAGCCACCCTAATCATTCTACTTTCTGGCCCTCTCCTCTCAGTGGCCTCTAAGGTTTTCACTTAGTGGAAGTGAAAAAAGCAGAGCAGATTGGGACTAGAGGTGGGTGGGTGAGGAGCTGGAGGGACGTCGAACTCTAAAGTTTTATAGCGGGTGGGGCAGGATGAAGAGAGGGAAGGGGAGAAATCAGAAGTGAAAGGGAGAGGGTATTAAACTCCTTGAACACAGGATCTTCCGACCTTCTCTTCTAGGCCCATCTAGACTTCATTCACTTCAGATGTCCCTATCCCCACCTGCCTCAGCTTTCTTCCCTCCTCCTCACCTCGGCCATTTGTCTCCTTCACATACTTCCCAACTTCCCTCCAACTCCTCCCTCAACCAGGGACCTCAGGTGAGCCTTTAGCCCCTGGATCTCTAAACTTCTTCCACTGTGCCTCTCTCTCCAGGAAACGAGATCCTCTCCACCCCAACTCCTTCACTTTCCGCCCTTCCCTCCCACCATCTCCCGTCCAGACCCAAGTGACCAATGCTCCCCAGCCTCACCAGACAGAGAGAGGATTGAGTCGTAGGACTTGCAGCTGACGAGGCCGGTGCTCTGACTGACGCATTCCATCCACAGCCCCTTGTACATCGCCTGGGAAGTAATGATGTTGTCTCCCGCATAGGAGCTGACCTGCCACTGAGGGAGCGCGGTGGCGGCTATCAATCCTACCCACCCCAGAGCGGCCATGGTGAACCCCAACAGCTGAAGCCCTGAGTTTGCCATTTTCCTCACCCTAAAAAAAGATGATCTTACGATAAACAAAAAAAAAATCTTTGGCGTACTCTACAAAAAGTACAACTCACCCGCCTACTTGGCCTTTTCTGAGAGAACCCTGAAAAAAAGCACTTCTGTGGTCAGAACCTTTACAATTTTCTAATTATTTT